GAGAGAGAGACCAGAGAGACCAGAGAGAGAGACCAGAGAGGCTCACACTCACCATGATGATCTTGACCCTCTGTGTGACAGGATTGGGTTTATTGTCCTCTTCCTCTAAAGCTTTGGAGAAATGATGCAGCTGCCAGATCGGGTGTCCCTCCTGACTCTCCCGGGACAGCTGCAAATCAGGATCAAGACCAGGATCAAAACCAGGATCAAGGCCAAGATCAAGACTAGGATCAAGACCAAACTGGACTCAGATAACAACCATAGACTGTATATGAGGAGTGGAACAACCATGTGACATCACCATATAGCCTTAGCCTTAACTCATTCACTGCCCATGACGACAAAACTCGTCATGTTGAATAGTAACGCTCACTGCCCATGACGAGTTTGACGACTTTTTCGTGTTATTACACGGGAGGCTGCAGTATTGTCTGGCGCACCTTGTTAATGACCCACAACACTGATATATAGTGCAAATGTACCTGTAATGATAAATCACCACCAGTAGGATGCAGTATTGCACCACAGGAGAGGTCATACGTCAGTGGAGAGAAGGAGGAGGAGTGTGGGAGTGTGAGAGAGCGTGCTGCTGTAGCATTGAGACGGATCAGCGATCTAGTTTAGCGATAGTATAGCTAGAGTGATGGCGAAAAAGAATAGTTATAAGCAGTATACACTGCTTCAGAGATTGACTCGCGGATCAGTGAGTGAGGTCGAGAGGGGAGAGAGTGGAGACCCCGGTGGAGGTCCGTCTCTGCAGCTACATTTGCGCGGAGCAAGAGCAGAGACACACCTTCCGCCTCTCCAGCGTATCAGCTGCTGTTGTTACTGATGCCTCGGATTCGTTCAGCAAACCTGATCATGATTTATCGGACACACTCACAAACACTCACACGCACTCACTCACTCACTCACTCACGCACACAGACACTCACTCGCACACTGACATTCACACACACAGACACTCACTCACGCACACAGACACTCACTCACACAGACACTCACTCGCACACTGACAGTCACACACACACTCAAATTCACATGCTTCATTCTATTTTATACATCTATAGTTTTATTGATCTTTGTGTTGTTGTTTGACGTTTTGGTTGATGGTATAGAAGAAAGTTAAATTTTCTATCTGTGAATAAATTGCCAACAATTTGCCATCAAAAGTATTATTTCAGAGTCATGTTTTTATAATTTTTGTAATGGAACAAGTGTGAAGATGTTTTGAGTTGTCACTAAAGCAGTAAAAATGCATCTAAAGTCTCTTTTCTGCTTGATATGTTACTGTTTACATACAGCTCGTTTTCTCTGTTTTCTTGCTCAGACCAGGTGTTATGGGTGAAAGTATGCTTTGTTCTATGGCAAATAACGCAAGAACGGTAAGAGGTAGAAACAAACTGTTTTTTTCAGAGTAAAGCAGAGAGGTTAATCTTTAATTTGGTGCCCTTGGTGTTTACATCGTCTAAAAAATGAATATTCTGTGGCACTTCAAAGTTGGGTCAAATCACCTGAAATTGCTGGCAGAATGCACTTCTCAAATCTGAAAATGCCTGGCAGTCATTTGAACGTAAGACGCGTTGCTAAGATGGTTGCTAAGGTAAGTGTTTCCATGTGAAAGGAGGCCTCTGATTGGTCAGTCCTTATATGGTCATATCTGGATTTACAAAGACAACATCACATCATAAACACAGGATCACAGAGAGCGATAAACCATGGATGTCAATAAGAGCCAAACTTCATTCATGAGCACTTCCCTGTTGGGCTTCACTGAGCTAGCAAGTTAGCATTGAGCTGGCGTAGTCCATCAAACGAGAGAGAAAGAGAAAGAGAGGCATAGAGAGAGACCAGAAAGAGTATTGTCCAGCTGTTTACAGATTGGCTCTTGGTTGCTAGGCCGTTGCTACACACAATATAGCATTCATTTAGCTACAGGTTCGAGCTCAAATGGACTGTCTGAGCTAGCTTTGATCTTCATGGTGTCTGTTTTTCATGGTGTCTGTCTGAGTTAGTCCTACTGTGGGCCAGCTCGTACCTCCAGCACCAGGGAGACGCAGGCCGGGAAGAAGGTCATGAAGACGAAGTAGTTTGCAAGAACCGACATACATCCAAACCCACACATGATCTCCAACTGTCTCACTCCTGCAGAGAGACCATGTCAGAGAGAGACCAGAGAGAGACCAGAGAGAGAGACCAGAGAGAGAGAGAGAGCAGAGAGAGACCAGAGAGAGACCAGAGAGGGACCAGAGAGAGACCAGAGAGAGACCAGAGAGAGACCAGAGAGGGACCAGAGAGAGACCAGAGAGAGACCAGAGAGAGACCAGAGAGAGACCAGAGAGGGACCAGAGAGAGACCAGAGAGAGAGACCAGAGAGAGAGACCAGAGAGAGACCAGAGAGAGACCAGAGAGGAGACCAGAGAGAGACCAGAGAGAGACCAGAGAGGGACCAGAGAGGGACCAGAGAGAGACCAGAGAGAGAGACCAGAGAGGGACCAGA